TCTCATCTCTCTCACACGAAAAGGGCGCTTGTGAGAAACATTTATCGAACAGCTACCAGCGTGTGCACAGGAAGACAACAGAGAGAGAAGTCCCGGAACTTGGCGCGGCAAATAGCCACTTTTAATGGCTACGAAACCGTAGCTCGAGATAGGTGTAGAGGAAACCACAGGTACCCCAATGATAACTCTAGCGACAACAAGGCCCGTTTATACTGCCCCTCATTTCAAATGAAGTACGTGCAGCTATAAAACGCTGTTTAAGAAGGGCCAGTCTAGAGAATTCGGTAACGATAATCGAAATACCACCGAGTAATCTAAGGCGCCAGCTAGTTCGTAACCGCCTATACGACCGTCTATGTGCAACGCAAAATTGCGTAGTATGCCCCAATGGTAGAGACGGTGACTGCATGAGTTCGGGTAGTCTATCTAATCTCTTGTAAGGCGTGCGGGCACGAATATGTTGGCGAAACGGGTAGACCACTCTGCGTATGTATAAAAGAACACCTAGTCGGGAAACGTAACCTAAGTACTCCACTAGGTACGCATAGCACGCAGAAACATAACGGAGAAGATTTTGAAGTAAGGGTTACGATCCTCGCGCAAGAATCGAGAACACAAGGGCGCAAAACTCTCGAGGCATTCTGGATAAATTCCAAGAATCCGAAAATGAACCGTAAGGAGGAATGTCTCGTTATCACGCGTGATATTGGACAGTATATAAACCTGTTATTCTGATGGGAGGGGCACATTACGCTTCCATGTGAATTCTGTGCGGTCGGTCTTCACGCGACATACTCAGTGGAAGACTCATAGAAAGCGGTGAGTGTGCAGAGCTATGCTAAATGTGATTGAAATCTTGGTTTAGCGTTTTCTCTGTTTGGGTTATGGAGGTGTTTAGCCGAATGGATTGCTGTCAACTTGACCCTTCCAGGCTCCGAGGAAGGCGAAATCCGCCGAAACGTCAGCTTGTGCGTAAATAAAGAAATAAAATAGCACCTCGTGTTTGCTGAACAGAAGTAGAAAGATATAAAACCAAATAGTTCACTAGCTGCGCATAAGACACAAAGACATTACGGCGAAGACACTGAAGTAAAAGTCACTATCTCAGCACGGTGAATGCCTTAAAAAACAAGCTCTTTACAGAGTAAATTAAAACTTATGTGTTAGTTTTATCTGCTGAGGGTGTGGAAGTGTTTGATTGAGTGGATTGCCTGTCAGTGTGAATCTTTCAGGCTGTGAGGAAGGCGAAATAGCAGAAACGTAATCTATTGTGTATTAATAAATGCGGCAACGACGACCTCGTCTTTGCTCACCAAGAAAACGGTGAATTATTGATCAATGTCGAAGTTAAAAGAAAGCTGGTCTTAGGATGGTTTGAGTCATTTGAAAGGTAAACTTCTCTTCGCTGATTGGATTTCCCGCAAACTAGTTCAGTAGTTCTGGGAAGGTAATGTAAAAAAGGGAAGGGAAAGCACAGTGGCGTTAGTTCGATCCCTGCGCTAACGCTCTTCTATAATTCACATGGTAACGCCTTAGCCCTGCTATCTCCTAAATTGCAAGGAGAATTGACTCAACCAAGATTATACGATATCCATAAAAGAATGAAATCCTCAAGTAGTAGTTGAAACATGTGTTCGAACACCAGTGTGGACGATGAGTGCGAGCAAGACGAATCGAATGGAAGAAGTGCTGGGAACCTCATAGAAAATGAGATGTCGGTCCATGTAAAATAAAATAAATGATGGATAAATGAGCAGAAATCTACTGTCCCTGAATATTTAACACTTTCGCGACGTTTAGTTTTTATCTGCCGCCTACTACGACTTTTCACGGAGGGGTATTATGTGAAATACAATCACAACGATACTGAGATATTTGCAAAACTCCGGACTGCAGGTCTCTAAGCTGGGGAACGAACGCCGTATTGTCCTTTCCGGGGACTAACGCGTTCACCACCAGACCATGCGGGTCCTTCGCTTCGCCTCTCAGCTAGTTTTCTATCTATCAGTGCCATCAGCGATCACCCGTCAACGAGATTGATCTGTGGAGGCAACACCAGCATTGCAGACACTTACGACCCGGAGTTTTGTAAATATCTCACTTTCAGGACGAATCACACCTATATCTGTTATAATGGCTTTACGAGAGTGGCGAGTAAGGAATAGAAGTAAGTTGGTGTCATTTTCTTTCTGGTGGCTTATTTTAGTGCACTTAGTGCACAGAATTCTTTTCACTAAAGTTTTTGTAAATAATCGATAGCCCATCCAGCAGATGCTACGGCTGGTGCAGTCGATGGGTGGATGACTCCTTAACGATTTCTCACTAAATTTCATTGTGCAGCCAGAAACTACTGGTGTTCAGGAGCCTGGAACAGCTGGCAATACATGCAGTGTGCAGCATCGATTTTGATAAGAAGTTCGTTGTTTTCTATTTTCAATCGCTACGACGACTTTTGGGTGTTGTTTGGAAAGAGAGGATATCAAAACTAAAAGGTATACGTCGTAATATTCTTTGCAGAACTTATACAACTTCATTAAACAGTGACAGCAATATGACTGCGTAGAGAGGACTTTTTCCATACACAAGAGTCGCGTATGCACCAAAAACATGGCAGGAGGTGTAGAAGAACATGGAGCATACAAAGGATAAGAAACGCGCGAAAATTTTCTCAGAACGCAAAGAAAAGAACGATTTAAAGAACGAAAAAATCAAAGGGGTCAAGGATACATAAAAGCTGCCGAAGTGGCCGCTGTGACATCTACAGTTGCCAGAATGAGCGCAGCGAAAAGTTAGACGTCCTGGCGAGAGCACTAAGAAACCAGAAATGCACTACTGTGTAGGTACTTTACTTACCAAGAATGGAAAGCTTTGGTTTTTTCCGAATAGCTCAACTTTGATCCGAAGAAATACGATAGTTTTAAAGCGATACAAATTATTGTCACTTTAAGTTTCAACCCATGGAGGCTGAAAAACACAGTCGTTACATATGGAGTACAATTGTTAGTTGGAAGACGAGGAGTCAATAAGAAAGAGATGAGAATCCATTGATAAGGCTGAGTTCCACCAATCTAGAAGAATTTTCGAGACACCCACAGTTCCATTTCTATGGAAAATGAAAGGTAGACAAAGCAGAGTTGTCAACACAAAATGAAGCATCAACGTGGCGTGATATTTTCTAACTAAGGAACGTTCCAAGGCAATATTGTGCGAAAACTGGTTTTTTTGTCCGTTATTGCTTTCCTATCGACACTAACTCCTTCGAGACGAAGCTGGTTCTTCTACAACTAACAAAAATTTGATCACAATTACAATTACAGACAATTACTTACAATTATAAAAAAGGATAGAGCTCTCGGCGTTGATCAATCCTTGAGGGATGCGCCGTGCATTCGACTTCATTAAGTTTCCCTGGAGGTGATTGAATGCATATCTGACCGTTATAATGGCTCGCGGTGGCCTACCGATGTATCAAGCCAGTACTGCTATCCTCCCAGACAAGTCTGGTACCAATTTGCTGACACCGGAGGGATGGAAGGCGTGCTGGGCCGTGGGCGCTGGGATCGATTGCACATGTGTCTCGCAATTGCGCCTCCAACCACTGCGCCACACCCGCCCTTCTTACAATTATAATTACTAACAATTACAGATGACGATATGGGACTCGCGCGCTTCACCATGCTCGAATAAAACCACCACCATGGACGACGACTGCGAGGGAAAGAGACGAATGGCAAATGTGCTGAGGTCCGCACAACTCGTGGAGACAGACCATGCAAGTATCCAAGTAACAAAAATCCCTCGACTTCGATCACTAGAGTATTTCAAAAGCTCAGCAAACAATAGACCTATCGAAAAGACTGCTACACCTGAGTAATCTCATATGTAATTGTCATGAGGTGCCCTTTGAAATTTTGACATGTCTGGAACTAAAACCTCCGAAAAACTGAAGATGAAAGTTGAAGTTCCTAAGACTTGCAACGAATGAGCGGCATCTTAAAGCAGAAACGACACACTAAGGAATACCACCATGTCGTGATGGACAAAATTCAGCTTGTTCATTTGCCTTCTTGCTCGTAATATAAGTTTTGAAGCAATAAAGTGGAAGATACATGTACTGCAGGCTTCAGAAGAGCAGAATGTCATCGTCGTAAGATGGGGGAACTTTTGTTATTGTTACACTAGACAACATTTACTACAAGCCGAAATATGTTGATTTAAAGTTGAAAGCGGTCATTATTTTCGCACCGTATAACTCCTACTGCCTCCCAACAGCTTACCGCCTCATCGTGGCTGAGAGGTGTTCCTGGGTGTCGGGCTGCGATGCATAGCGAGGGAATTCGTCTCCCCGGCAGAGTCTCACAAGCTGAGAAGGAGTCCGGCGTTTCCATTAGGAAGCCTAGCTAAGAGTAAACCAAGATCATGATCCAGCACCGTCGTGGTATCAAACTAGTCGCATGGTGGCAAATCTCCCTGTGATCCACAAGGGCAACGACGGCCTGTGGTGGTGAAGACCCGGGCAGGCTTTGGCCAGGTTAACCTCGGGGCCTCAGGTAACCACAATGGCTAAGCCAGCAAAATTCTGAAAAAGTGGAAATTATACTAGGGCCTGCACAATCAGTGAAAAAGGGCCATTCAAGCACCCAAGTATGACCCCGTAGGGGTCACGCTGTTACGCGGGTGTTAGAACGAGGTGAAAGTTGCGAAGAAATCACCAGTTCCTATCAGTATATAAAGACTATTATGGATCCGAATAAAAATGCTGTCATGTAACAGGAAACAGTAGTAAAGTGAGGGCGAGAAAAATCACACAAGTAGCCAGTAATCCAGGTGAGCAGATTAACACGAAAAATCTTGAGAAAGCCAACTACGACGATCACTTAAACTTCACCAAAATGTCATAACGTCAAAAAAAAGTGGAAGGATGAACCACTGAGGTCACAAGGAACTCGGAAGGAATTCGGCGACGGTTAATGTCAGCAATTTCGATGGGATTAGCACCCATGGGCCGGCCGGCCAGTCGCTCGCCTGGCCCCAACTGGGTGCGCGCCAGCATCGCCCTTGGCTCTGCCGACGTGCGAACGACGGCAATGGAGCGATGCTCGATTTCGGCCAGAGTTCGGAATTCCGTTCGGCAGCTTTGCTGTTATGGTTCAAGAGGCTGTAAACTATATGCGAATGTCAGGTATTGCTGGTTATATGCCGCTATCTTCGACATTTTATATTTTCCACAACGTCTAACAATGTTTTTTCTTACAACGGCGCCAACGCCATGACCTTAGGCGAATGCGTTCGCCGGTGTAATAAAGATTTTCCTAAGGGAATATGAAGATCCTTTTCTTTAAATCACTGGGCTAATATCGTATGTAAATCCAAGATCACTAGTTTTCATTTAATCATTTGGAATAAACTCATAAGGATCGAGTAAAGCAGTGGAAGTAGACCGTTCAACACGTGGCAGGCCCAATCTACTCAGAGCCTGCGTCGACCCCACCTTGGGTCAGCCAAGCTTCTCATCCCTCTGCGGTCGAAAGATTGATACCAGGCTTTTCTGGGAACAGTTCACTCTCTCCAGTCCACGTGTGTACACACCGGCACGGCTATCTCAGGATTAGAGGATAACCGACCGGGCTAGCATTGAATGACATTCGTTATGAGGACGAAAGGAATTCCCATGGAGCAGCTGAAACCACACGCAAAAAGCTCGAATACCGTCGTGGAGGATGGACGCGAAGAAACGAGTGGAGTGAAAGAAGTGCTAGGATCCGCACAGCGTGATACGTATGATGTCGGGTTATGTAGTAATCAAATAAGTCAGCGAAAATCCATTGCGAGAGTGAAAGCTAGGAACTGCTTCACTGTTATCAACACTACGCTGGTTAGAAATGACGAAAACAATTTCGTAACTCCATAACGAGGAAGGGGTCGTAATTTGTTGGATATTTTTTCTTAATTTTCTTTTTATTTCATTCATCTTCACGTCTACTGTGCGGATCCCAGCACTTCTCATATCCAATTCGTTTCCTCGCATCCATCGTCCACGAACGTCTTTCAAGTTCTTACGTGTGGCTTTGGTTTTGCTTGAGGATTTTCATTTCAACTTGAATGTTATAGAATGCTGATCGAGCAATTCTCCCTAGTCTTGAGATAGCCGGACTGGAGCGTTCCCAACTGGATTGCAGAGAGTGATTTTTATCCCACAGAAGTCCGTTACCAAGACAGGTCTAAAGAGTAAAGTTCTTGACGTCGGTCGATCCCTAAGGGCTGCATCATGCATTCGAGTTCATTAAGCATCGGTAGAGGTGACTGAGTGCGCATTTGGCCTAATGGCCTTTACAATGACTCGTTGTGGCCTATTGATGCATCTAGTCAGTGCTGCCCTCCTACCAGACAAGTCTGGCAGCAATTTGTCTGCTCCGAGGAATGGATGGCTTGGTGAGCATGGGGCACAGGATCAAACCCGTGAGTATTAAAAGAAACCTCTAACCACTGCCATGCAAGCGCCTCGATCTAAAAGTACTAAATATTAGGAGCTAAATATACATTGAAGATATCATAGTAAGCGACTTAGACCATAATCGCGATCCACAATGACCTCCCTGTATAAAAAAATTGTCGTGTTTGGTAGCCTCATTTGAGCTCCACTGAAGAAAGACTGTATATTAACCTTGTGTTGGCCATAGGCTTATCAATGAGAGAACACTTGGACCAGCCTTCACATAAATTTCGCTCAGAAACGTCTTCACATGAAAGCTATGGTACAAATATATTTAGGAATTATATTTTAGTTTGAGAAGATGATTGGGTTTAATTTTGAAAATGGCTAGTTTTAATGTTAAACAACTTAAAATTTGGTCAGCTTTCTTGTCTTTGGTAATTTAGTGGATTTTATAGCGTGAAATTCGCAGTGCACCTTGCTAGCCCAAACGTCTGATACCTAATGTCGGTGTGGACCACTATGTAGTATATCGGTTGTGCAACCTGCTATACAGGCACTTCCGTTGATTTAAAACAGGTCTACGCAAATTCGTTCTTAGCCGAATCCACAGTGCTGAAAAATTGCATTCTTAGGGTAGGGGAATAGCGAGGATTTAAAGGAGGACAACTCACCAGAAAATGATATTTTCAGGTGAACGGGCCCAGCATGTAAATAATTTTAAATCAGGCTTCCAAAAGGGAAAAGGAGACATAAGTGAGGAAAGCGGCCGATTTAGGAAGACTGGACATACATTGTGATTAACCACGCATCTAAAGAAACACACAGAAAGCGCTACCCGGTGCAAAATGACGTTTGTTCAGTTTGTGATGATTAACTCCATCGGCGTTGAGAACGACCAGCGGGAAACCAGTGAAAAACACATGGAATCGATATTACATATTTCCCATCGACAGTGTAAACAAATACAGCTTTCAGTGAGAGTAAAGAGGAAGTTGCTGAGGCAAAGTCGTACAGAATGACATGGTTGGAGTGGAACGCTTTCCAGATTTCTAGCTGTGCGCCTGCAAATGCTCATTGGATCGAGCTGCACCAAGAAGAGTATTGTAATTTCTTTCCAGCGTTCCACTCCTTTCTGAAATTGAAGTTTCACCTCAAAAATGGGGTGACTATATTTTACAATTATTTGCCAAATTAAATTTACCTTTGTAGTTGTCTTTATGAGGTCCATATAACTTCTTAATATAGGCCAACTATACCGTATTTAAGAAAGTTTATTTATAGTTCATTTGGTATCTTTTTATTACTATGTTTTCGGAGTTATTAAAACACCTTGGGAGCACAGTTTTAAGCACAGCTGTTAAGAATTTCTCTGGTACAGATTCATACTTGCGGTACGTGAATGATATATTATCGTTGTATTAACGAATATTATATTACTATCGAAGTTTTCGGAAAAAAAACCGAACAGTTTAACTCTGGTATGCCCCCACTAGGAGGATTTATGTAGCCCGCTATGCAGAGATAGATTTTCCCCTCTGGAGCTCCACAAGCGGTATCTGCTTTCTTCCGGTATTTGTAGAATGGTAGAACGAAGGCTGAAACAACAACACTTTCATAAAGAGTTGAATATGCATGAAAACCATCTGCCGCTAGACATTTTAGTAACAGGACAAATAATCGCCCTGGATCTCATTGGCTAATGAGGAGACATTACTTTTGGAACCACTCGTCATTCAGTCTTGGCATTAGCAATCAAGACACTGTTCTTTATGTGACTCCTTTCTACTGTAATTATACGATTTACTGCTCTTAGTTGTCATTAGGCCTAACGTTTGAAAACGACTCGTCTGTAATGGAGAGACAGGACATGAAGTTATTAATTGATTTTAGGGGTTTCGAAGAGTCCACTTATTGAGACATTGCGATTTTAAACGGAATTGATACGAAAGTAATATCTTTAATATCTAGCTTTCGAATGAACAGTGTGCAAACTTGTGGCTTGTGGTTCTTGTTATTTCGTACGCAGGAGTAACAGTCGTTTCCCTTGCCAAGGAACTTATCGATTTTAATAGCTGCGGACCTGATTTTGCTTAGAAGAATCTATATTTTCACTCATCGGCTTCTATAGAGGTAAAGGTCTCATTCTTCATATCCTTTACAGGACATTCTCCTGCAATATGCACAGTAAACAGCAAGATCTCACTAATATACGGGAGCACAGTCACCACCACATTCAGTCCATATCCTGTAAACTAGCTTTTATATCAAAAGCGAATGAGACTTACGAAGGGCCAATTATACATTTACATTAAATAAACTGAAGTGTAGGAAGCATGTACGACAGTGGCTAGAGATGTCTTGCAATACACATGGGTTAGATCGTGCGTTCCACGCTCACCAAACCTTTCAACTTCCCTGAGTCGGAAAATTAGTACCAGACCTGTCTCGGTGTATAACAACGCCGACTCGATAAAACGATAGACCATCGCGAGTCACTGACTTAATATTCCAGATATGGATTCGGACACCTCTAGCGATGCTTAATAAAGTCGAGTGCGTGGTGCATCTCTCAGGGCTTGATCAGCGCCGGGAGTTTTATGCTTTTTTATTTAAGTTGGACTGCCACTGAATTCCTTTGCGATCTAATGGATAGGAAGATGGCAAAAAGAGCAGAAATGAAAGAGCTATGAGTAATGTTGCAGTTCCAAACAACAATGCGATGATGACGCACACTCTCTAGACGATACTCATACAAACATTTGCAAATAGAATCATGAGGTCGTAGTCGTCCGTTTCACAAAACTATAGAAACTCTGCATGCACTTTCACTTTATTTTCAAAACTTCTAAGCCGCTTGAGAGTAATTAATCTTGTGAAGCACGCAATTCACTCAAGTCAATGAGTGAAGACTATCCAGTCGAAGCTCTCATATTATCTCGTGCAGCCGACAAATAGAAAGTTAAAAAGCTGGTAGTCTTACATGTAGTAATGGCGTAATGGCCCGTTTCTGCACTAAAGGCAGAAGACAATTATTGACCGATTATCACGACTTCATTCGCGATCGCACTTACCGATTTTAATTCACTAAGGATAAATGGATAAAGACTTTATCGCTGGTCAATCTCGGATGAATACTCCATGCATTCGACTTCATTAAGCATTGCAGAGGTGACTGAATGCATGCCTAGCCTATACAATGACTTTTTTAGAACATGGGATCGAGCTAAAACCCAGGTAAGGACCTCATGGCGTCCCCAACCACTGCGGTACCTGGACGATTTTAATACATACGGTGCGATATTAACAGCAGATCTCAGCTTTAAGTCAACATGTCTTATTTCTCAGAGAGTTTTATCAACTGGTATAATAACCGTTAGAGAGTACAATCCTTTGTCAAACATCAAATTTTCTTATCCAACCAAATTAAAATTCCGGTTTTCTAAAAATACTAAACATTTTCTTTTATTCTCCAACGTAATTTTTTTTGCTATTCTTCGTGGAGACTCATATTTAGTGCTGTAGTGATTGAACAGTGGGGATATCGGACAACTGAACTCAACGGGACTCCTTAGTGTGTTACTTGTGTTATCGACTGCCTGGTTTTCATTGGAAACTTTTGACATCCTTCAACTTGACCTTTCCAGGTTCCGATGAAGCCGAAATCCACCGAGTCATCAGGTTTTTTGTGATTATATAGTAGAATAAAGCTGCGTGTTTGCTATTCAAGAAAACGGTGATTTTTTAAAAATTTCGTTCCTTCATCAAGGTGCGATTTTAAAGGCAATTGTGGTTGAAAGAACATTTTCCGTAGATTATATATACTCTTAACGGGAGAAAGCAGTCGCTTCTATAAGCATTTCTGATTTGTGAACTTTCCAAAGAGTCAACTACTCCAGTGATCGAGAAATGATCGAAAAACTAGTATAATGACAAAGGAGTTAAAAAATAGTGTTGTAAAAGCAGTCGAATGAACGGTTGATAACAATCTCGTTTCAGGTTATCAATGAAATAAAGTGCATCGATTCATATTCATATTCATACTATTGTATTATGCATATATCATACTAGGGTTAAATAAAAGTCCATTTACAACATTACGAAAAATAGTTCCCAGGACCGACTTTCTGTTAACCTCGACACTGCATTATAGATGTGTCGTTTTTCTTCTCAACAATCGTGAAGCTGACACAGAGCACACGTTTACTTTTCTACAAAAACACATACAATACAACGGTAGCTGACGTCTCCGCAGCACGGCCTTCTTCAGTGAATTATGAAAAACATGAAAATATTTGTTCTGTGATCTGACGAACTTTGAAGTTTATGATATAGACATCGAATTCATGTATCCATACACTATCGAAAATTGCCCCATGCGTGATTGAATAATAAAGGATAAGGAAAGCTAATCAATCTCCTAGAGATTTGGCCTGCATTCAACTCCATTCGTAGCATAGTAGAGGAGATCGGATGCATACACATTTTAACTTATTAGTTACTGCCTACCCTTTTTAATGGCAGAGTATATTGCGAAACATAACTTCAATGATGCTAAGATATCTGCAAAACTCCGAGCCGAAGGTGTCTGCGGTGCGGGACCTGAGAGGCAGGAGAGACGAAGGACTCGCATGGTGTGGTGACCAACGCGTTAGCCCCCGGAAAGGACAATAGCGTGTTCATTCCTCACCGCAGACACCTGCAGTCCGGAGTTTTGCAAGCATCTCAGGACCATTGAAGTTATATTTAGCAATATACCCTGCCATCAAGAAGACTAGGCAGTAAATAAAACGTTTAAGGCTATTGAAATCATTGTATTCCAGGGTTAACTAAGGGAGAAGCCATGCGGGCGTACATTGACAGCGTTTGCTCGTTAGAAGAACGCCTACCGGATCTCATTGAGGAGTGGAAAGACGATCAGGATCCACGAATCCCGGACCGAAATCGCTACGTACCGGAAGAGGAACGTGATGAGGTGGAGCGTATCACCAGAGAGGCAAAGCTGGCCAGACGGTCAATACCAATAATTGGTTTTCTCACGGATTATCTAGAGCTTACGTCCATTCAATGCCTATAACGTCTATTCTTCGATCTCGTTCAAGTTCATTGTTTTGTGTAGAGTGATCAAGTGGTCTGCTTAGTTAAAATGATCAAGGTTTCTTGGATTTTTTGCATTGTTGGACACTACATTAAGTAAATCATTAAAGTTCTTTGATCGAGCTGACGTCATCTTTATTTCAGTCAACGAGATGCGGCGAAACGAGCAGAAGAGGAAGCATTAGGAATGTGGGATGAATGAAAACCATCGTGGAAAAGGAGGATGATCGAGTGTGAATAGGCCAAACATTACCGCTGTATCTACGGCAATTTAAATGTACTTTCAATATTTCGCAATGACTCGAGTTGTATTTTTAGCACTTAGTGGAAACTTTTCTCCTGAGGAAATTCGTGTTGTTACAATGTTTCATTCCTTCCGTGCAGCTTGCAGCTCTATCTACTACCAATCATTAATAACCTCCTCTTCATTATTTACTACTTTAGTGTTCCTACAATTTCTTTATTTCACGCTGTTCAAAACCTCATGTCGTGTAATCCAATGTTGCAGCCTATTCGAAACTGCTAATAATCGCTCAATAAGCGACACGACAACCTTACTAACGCATGGAAATATGTGGTAGCTACTAACTGTGTTTTAGAGCAGCAAAAACAAATGAGTGAAGGTTGATAGGAAAGTTTCCATAGATCAGGTAGATGTTAGCCACCCGGTCGGAGAACTGAGTATGAGAAATTTCGTGGAACAGGCGAAGGACTTGTTCGTTGACAAATTCTTGGAAAGTCTTTCCCAGGAATAAATTTTCACGTTACAAGTGCAAAGAATTAGAATACGGGACTCGCTGATATCAAAAATGGGTGGGAAGTACGAAAAGTTATAGCCAAGGGGTGAGTGTATCACAATGGTCGGTTGCATTCTGCGATAAACCTGGGATCGCTCCTCTCTCCAAAGGCTTTCTAAGCCTTCCATCCTTCGGGGCTTAGTAAATTGGTACCAGACTTGTCTGGGAAGATAGCAGCACTGGCTCGATACATCAGTAGGGTGCCGCGAGTCATTGTAAAGGCCAGGTATACATTCAATCACCTCCAAGCGATGCTTAGTGAATTCGAATGCATAGCGCATCCCGCAGAGAATAGATCAACGCCGAGAGCTTTATCCTTTATCCTTTTTTACAGCCAAGCTGATATGATTGCCTCCAACATCAAATATTGTAGGCATGGTCGCTTGGGGACAACGATAATGAAGCAGAATCCTCTTCTACTGCTTTTTCATCTCATTGAGGGTCTGCTGCTATACACTTATTAGAGTTCTCGTGCGCATTCTTCTAAACTCTCACAAATTCTTCGCTTCAATAATTTCTATGCTCTATTATTTTAGTTAGTACAACTTTCAACGATACGGAAAAGTAACAGCATCTTTTTCTCTTCATATTTTACGCCAATGGTGACGGCAAGTGAGCTGATTTCCCTCTAAGTAATGGGGCTTGCGTCCCGACTTTCGCTGTAACTGGTTCCTCCCGTTTGCTATAGCGTGTAACTATATAACTTCTTCTCAGCTTCTTACCTATTCAACTAACAACAGCGCATGTCACGCTAGCAGTGTCATGAAAAATCCATGAATATGACTTTTCAAACGGTGGCGTGATGACTGCAAGCTTGTTTCTGAAAACTGGTCCAAATATCTGTAAGTGCTAGGGTGCTTTGTTGATAAAATATTCAAAAAATAGATAGTAGTCAACAGGAACCGGTCGTTTCACGTACACGTCATGAACGCACTTGTGGAAAAAATGGCGAAGTATTAGGTACGCTTCAGGGAGTATTAAGTAGCATTAGGTAGTAGTAAATAGCAACCCATCACTAGGACAATGGATAACGGCACCACAGATGGTGCAGAATTGTGTGCTTGTACATGTTCTACTGAACTGCATAAAGCTTTCCTAAGCCCTTTCCCAACTGCGATTTCATTTTGTCATCGTCAGTAGTTCATCGTTCAGATCATCAAATAAGCTGAATTGAATGATTCAAAAGTATAACTCGAGAATCGACAAGAGTTCTAGAAGCACCTCTAACTGCTTTGAATTTTCAGAGGCTTCCAGTCAACTGCTTGAGTTAGGTGCCAGTTCAGTTACGTCGCATTGGGGATAAGCAGGTATTTGAAAGTATAATACGGAACTCGGCGCTGCGAACTAGTTCGGTTATTCGCGTTTCGACGACATTCTCGACCCGTACATCAATCAACATTCCACTACTTGTATTTGTAAATATCGAAAAAAATCCATAGTTGAGTGGTGTCACAATGTTTAACTTTCATTTACTGCTTGTCTTTTTTTATGGGAAGGACATAGGTGAAGAGCAACAGAGGCTGAGATATAAGCAAAACTTGCAAAAGCAAACAAGTTGGCAACTAACGAGAAAGTTTTGCTCATATTTCAGCATCCTAAGCGGTGTCAAATAATTTGAATGAACTGAAGCGCTACATGAATAGGGAAACCGGCTGTCAAGGTTATGACTTGAAGACACTTTGAAAATTCTTGAAACGCCTCACTATTATTTCTCAATCGAACAATATGAACAGAGTCTTTTGTTCGGCTGCAATGTTCGATCATCAAGACGGCAAGCTTTCAGTTGTTGAAGAATTGAAGCAAGGAACTAGTAACGTCGGTGGTTCCTTGTCTCTCTATCGGTTAGAGGAATTGTTCTGTTATGACATGTCATCTGTTCCGTCATTTTTCTCATCAATTTTTGTCTAGCCAGATTTCTTCGAAGAATTTCATGGTCATTCAGTAAGAGGAGGACTATTCACCTTATAATCTCTAGCGAAAACTAAAATAGGTGTAATTTTAACTTATAATTTACTACCTACTCCTTTTAATGGTAGGGTATGTTGCGAAATATAACTTTAATGATGTTGAGATATTTTCGAAACTCCGGAGTCCAGGTGTCTGCGGTGGGGAACGAACGCGCTATTGTCCTTTCCGGGGAGTAACGCGTTCACCACCACACTATGCGGGTCCTTCGTTTCGCATGTCTCTCAGCTAGTTCTATCGTCAGTGCCATCGGCAATCACCAATTATCGGGATTGATCTGAGGAGCGCAAATCGGCAATAAAGTAGGTGCTTTTTTCCCCACAATATGTATGAACAATATACATTGTTGCCTAGATCTACTAAGGGCGTGAAGATTGAATCTTATTCTTTGGCGATGGTCAACTACACTTGTTTATGTCAACTTGTAGCCATCGTAACTAAACTTGTCATCTCACTGAGGCCACTGTAATCATCGATGTTTGTTTCACATCGGCGGTGACGGCGGACAGAATTGACAAATGTCTGTCTGAGACTCCTTTTGTCTCGTTCGTCTTTCACACATCACAAGCGAATCATAGAGCGCACTGTTGCGAACAATATATACAGAACAGGTTTAAGCTAATACAGTATATTTAAAAGGAAACTGCCTACTTTAAATTACTTATAATTCATTTACACATTGTAATACTCCTCCCAATATTTCGTCTATGTTCCTTAATTTGAAGTAATCAAGTCCATCTCGTTTTCGTTTTTATTCTTATCGATTCTATTTCTATGAAATTTGCAAGCCCTCCAAAATGGCTGGTAGTCTTACCTTGCAATAGCAGGCTCATCTAGTCGTAAGTTACAAAATCTGGAAATATCACAACTGTGCAAGACGAAATCTGACGAGTCATCAGTAGTTAGGAGAGCATCGAAGATCCAATTTTTGTACGAGATGGCGCTTTTCAATAACCTGTTATTGTGTTCGATGAATGCTTGAATGTTCACTTTCCTAGGAGCTGATGACTTGTCGTGATACCCATGAGTGGCTAGATAGAAGCCCTGGCTAAACCCTCTCTAATGTTCTTTTTTGGAGTTGGTTAGAGCAGGAGCCGCAGTCTGCTATACAAGCGACTTTGGAAAGACTTGAAGGGCGAATACAAAAAATCATGTCTTCCGTAAAAGTTTCTGGTAAAATTAGTTGTTGCGGTTAGTGGACGACTTGAGAAGCTGGTGGCGAGTGTTGGTGCCCATAGCGAATTTTTGTTAAAAGTGTGTGGTGTATGGTCTCTTCCAATATTTATTTCTTGCAAAGGTTTTAGCCAGAGAAAAAGTTACAAGAGCTCTAAAAAGGAGAGTTATTTTTCAGGCTGCCTGTATATGTCATCTAGAATTCAGTTTACCATTAAATTCCCTCAATTCAGCCGTTGATCCAGGCTATTAATTCAATTAGGCTAAATATGCCTCTCCTTTCACACGAAAGAAGAGTATAGCGTTTGAAATTGATCAATTCCTGAGAGATTCTTCATGGAAACGATTCCATTCGTAGCTTTGTTAGAGGTGACTGGAGTAGCAGTTTGCCATTCTTCGATGTTAAGAGAGCTTGGTGAGTCCGGAGAGCGGGATATAGTTAGCGACCAAGTGTGTGTTGCAAAATATCTCTGGCCACTACGCTGCACGTGCCTGTATTCGCTTTCCATAGTTAAAGAAGGTAAAAAATGTTGCGTCTATATGTATGCTCTTACATGTCCTCGTTTAGCAGACGCGCAGTCGGTATAGATGTTCCTATTGTTGTTATTGTCGTTGCTCAATTGCTGATGTTTCGGCAACTTCGCGTTCCACAGAGCCCGGACAAACCATATGTAACAGTAGTCCCACAACTTGGTGAACTCCATAATTGTAGTAAAGATCCAGCATACGAAAAAACGTCAATTTTCAAAAATTACTCGCACTACCATGGGTAATTTCTTGCAATTGGCGTTTTTCCATTTGCTAAGATCTTCATTAATACTATGGAGTTTACCAAATAGTGGGCCACTGCTACACCTGGTAAGTCCAGGTTCTCAGGAAAGCGAAGTCGCCGAAGCGTCAGCCATTGAAAAACGACAACAACAGCAGTGAGAACGTCTATACCAACCTCGCGTCAGTTAAGGAAGGACACTTCGTAAGAGTCGTAAGAGCATATATATATTTATATATATATATCGATTAATACGCTGAGGTTAATAAAAGTTCGACCTTTGAGTTATTAAAAGATATTGAATAGTATGAAGCTTCGATAGTGACCGGGTTATCAAGCTTTGTGGTGCTGACGCCTCAATTCATTAGTTTCATTCTCGTTCCTCTTGTAAGCATCAATCTTAATTTTATAGGTAGAAATTTTATAGGTGTCTTTAACGAAAGTGCACTACGGTGCATTTTGTTGTTAATTTTTTTTCCATTGATTTTCATGCTCTGA